AATAATAAATATGGACAGCTAATAGTATCAGATATGTCGTTAATCACGTGAGGCTTTTAGGAGGAGAGGGGTTTTGATAAAAAAAAATCACGAAATATCAAGTGGGCGAGGGAGGGGTTGAAAAAAATCTAAATATTATAAAAAAAAATGGCTGTGGCAGTTTTCTTACCAACACATCCGGTTCCATCCTCGTTCTGTTCAAATCCATCATCGCATTCACAAACAAAGCTGCCATCCGTGTTGATGCAACGACCATTCTTACAAACTTCGGAAGAGATGGCACACTCGTTGATGTCCACACACTCATCCGTGTTATTGACCTGGAAATAGAATAAATAGAACTTGTTAGCCTTACAAATTTGTGCAATCAAGATTTTTATTGGGCCAGCGGTGGCGATATCGGTTAGAACGTGGGCTAGCAGCAACTAGTCCCAGGTTCGTCAGTTCGATTCCCGCTACCACCGTAGTCCGACATCAGACAACTTTGATGTCAAATTTCAACTTGTGGTTATAGATCATAATATAACTACAAGTGGAAATCGTCCTTCGTGGACATAGTTGCATCACTCAATCATATGTAAACTATTAGATGTAAGAGTTAATGTATAATAAATCCACACATAGGAGAATGTGTGAACCGATGGGTTGCCTCTCATAATAATAACTTAGATCATAAGCGTTAAACCAAACAGGTTATAGAACATATAGATAGAAAAAGTTCTGATTGCTGTTGTAGTAATAATAATAAAAAAAGATTTTCATACTATACCTTGGCATAGCCCTCAGGACATATACACTGGAAGCTACCAATAAGATTTTTGCACTGGTATTTGCAATTATTCGCGGGCGTCACACATTCATCCACATCTAAAACAAAAAGTAACATGAAGAGATATTTTTCCACACAACTTGAAGCTTTCTTCTATCTACTCACCAGAACAATGTCTTCCATCAGGTGACAAGGTGTAACCGTAAGGACAGATACATCTGAAGGAACCTGGAACATTGTGACAACGGAAAGCACACATGCTGCCCATTTCTGCGCACTCGTTAATATCCTCACAAACCTTAAAAATAATAAAAATATTAGCAATATATAATTACATAACTCGAGTGCTTTTGTGTCTTTTATCACCTGCATAGGTCCTGGAGCAAATCCTTGAGCACAAGAGCATTCAAAACCACCATCAACATTACTGCAAGTGCCATTTCCACAAATGTTTTGGTTCGTATAGCATTCATTGTCGTCAATACATTTTTTACCTGGGAACAAAATGGATAGTTGAATTGGTAAAATAATTTTCTATCTATTTACTTCTTACCTGTTGAGTCTAAAATATATCCCATCGGACATTCGCATCTGAAGGATCCATCGGTGTTGATACAAGTTCCACCTTGGCAAACTCCAGGATTTAGAGCACATTCATCCAAATCGACTCCGGAGTCTGATCTTCCGACACCTTCTGGACAGAGTCTGTCGAACTCCACTGCAGAAAAATAATAATTACACATAAAAAAACTTCAGTTACTAGTAATATATATTAATATTTACCAGTTCCATAATCTGGACATTTTGAGCAAGTTCTTCCCCAGGCAGCTCCTTGAGAACAGCAGCACTGTTTCATCGTTAAATCTTTGCGTCTGGGAGCTGAACAGATATTGCTAGAAGAACAAAAATTTTTATTATTTAATTAGTTTAAATTATCCGTTTAAACTCGAAAACGGCTAAACCGATTTGGCCAGTCTTAGTCTTGAAAAATTCGTGCCAATCCAGAGATGATCGGAAAGGTGAGATATTATTTCAAAATCGCGTACAAACTTTACATTTTTAATTTGAAAATTTTTGTAGAAGCGTAATTTGAATAAAACAACGGACGGTGGCTAATACGTCAAATGTCAAACGTACTAAGTAGTAACATTTGTCTTTTTGAAATCGAAACTTCAAACTTACTAAGTAGTAACATTTGTCTTTTTGAAATCGAGAATTAATAAACGTTTCCGGAAAACTGTCGACTGAATTACTGTAAAGAAATATTGTAAAATGTCTCATATGATCATGACCCATTGATAGTTCTAGAAATAGGTTTGAATACAAAAATCTAAGAAATTTATTTCATTAAGGTACAATGATAGATGCAACAGGCTTGCATCCAGTTTTCTCAACGAAATAACAGTATGCATTTTTTCTTGGCCCTTAATTACAATTTACAGTTAAATGGCAACTGCTTAAAAAAAATTAAAATTAAAACTAAGTAAAAATTACGTAAATACTTTAAGACAGAAATGTCTACCAGACCTGTATGTTCCTAGAGACAGAAACTTTATAAAATTTAAAGATCACTAAGTCCGACTTACTTAGAATCTTTCAAAAAAAAAAAGCAAGGAGAGTGAAAAAATATCTGGAATCATTTGTAAAATATTCCGAAAATTAGAGAAAATTAGATAGATAAATAATTAGAATGATAAGTAAATATTGTTTTAATACTATGTATTTCTATATTTTGTGAAAAAAACTTTCTTCTTGAGGGGGCCTAGAAACAAATTTTGATACGGAGCCCCGCCAAGGCATGCTACGCCCCTGAGTTTGTTTGTGGCAAAATATAGACAAACTGATGGACTTTATTGTTTTTATAATACCTCATTGCATATAGCATTCAAACAACACATCCTTATACACTTAAAGCTTTAATTTTTTTGATTCTCTAGAAATTGTTTAGAATATACCTTACTTAGCAAAACAACGTTTGCCGGGTCAGTTGGTATATATATATATATATATGATAGTTTTGTCGACGTTGATACATATTTGAAATATTTTTGCAGCCCAACCGTCGAATTAAAAAAAAGGATTAAATAAATTTATTCCATTAAAAAACGTTTCGACACTTGATGTGTGTCATTATTCAGTAATCAAACCAGGAAAAACAGAAAACATTAATTATGATGTAAAATTAATTGAACACTAAATTTGTGTAAAATAATAAAATACTATTATATTAACAAACGAGAAATAGGAGGAGCACATATTGCCCTCCTATATTTAATGTTATTGGTACCATTGCATTGTGGGCACTGTCAGATTTTTTTAAAACTTTTGAAAATTTTGATTTTTTTTGAACATTTTCAAATTTACGAAATTTTTTGACACACATCAAGAAACGATGACACACATCAAGTGTCGAAACGTTTAATGGAATAAATAATATTGTTATTTAATCCTTTTTTTTAATTCGACGGTTGGGCTGCAAAAATATTACAAATATATATATATATATATATATACGAGGTCTGTTCAAAAAGTACCCGGAATTACTAATAATTAAATTTCGCGGGTCTGGAGTGTCTGATTGTCAAAATTTTTTTTTTATTGTGTTGGTATACATGCCCCTAAAGTATGATGAAATTTTCAGCTATATTCACTGTTTACTTTGTCTGTGGTAGTCGCTAAGGTTCGACGTGTTTTTCTGAGCTCGGCGATTTTTACAATGGAAGAATTGAAAAGTCAAAGAATTTGTATTAAATTTTGCGTAAAAAATGAAATAAAGTGTTGCAAAGTGCAAAAATTCACCAGATATGGCTCCGTGTGACTTTTTCCTATTCCCAAAGTTGAAGAGACCCATGAAAGGACGGCGGTTTTCCTCGATTGAAGAAAATCGCCGAGAGTGCTCAAGGACATATCAAAAAGTGAATATCAAGGGTGCTTCGAAAATTGGAAAAAACGCTGGCATAAGTGTATTATATCTGGGGGGGACTACTTTGAAGGGGACCACATTAATGTAGACGAATAAATAAATATTTTTTTGAAAAAACGAAAATTCTCGTATATATATATATATATATATATATTGTTGGGCGCCGATTAGCTCTTCTCTTCATCAACCAATTTCGTTAGATGTTATTGTAATATCATAATAAATTCAAATTAAACACAATATTCTTCATGTATACTTTTATTTTCCCGTTCATTAATACTCTGAGATGTCGTCATCTATACGAAAATTACACAACTGAACAACTTAAAATTCCATTTCGGCTTTATATAGCCTTCTCATTTAATAATCAGGGACTTCCCTTGGTTTTGAATATGATCAGTAGCTTCCTTATATGTATGAGTGCGAATTATGTGATTTCCCGATCGAAATTCATAGGAATTACTGCGTCGTACGCAAAGGCTCACGTACGCATTTGGAAAAAGTTCATTGGTCCTATTTTGATTATAATACTTTTGTTACTCGAAATGACTTAATACAATGTAACAACAGTTCTTGGGATGAAGTTAGTAATATATTAGTTATAGTTAAACCATTGGGTCGCAACAATATATATATATATATATATATATATATATATATAAATATGAGTAAGTTGTTCAAGGGCATACATCAAATAAAAGGCAAAGATTTAGAAAAGACTGCCTCGGAAACGCTCGCAAAAACTACTTTCTCCGTGCAAAATATATTATATATTTCACAAATATTTTGCTATACTATGTTCAACAAAAACAAAAAACAAGTTAGTGTATATATAATAGTGCAAAATTATGTGCCTTGCGCTAGCTACTGATATCCACTGATGATGACATAAAATACTATGTCGAAACGTTTGGAAAAATTAAAGATTAACTTCTAAATCTTTGCCTTTTATTTGATGTATGCCCTTGAAGAACTTACTCATATTTCTCAACATCAAAACTAACTTCTTTAACATATATAAATATTTATAAATCTCTTTTCATCCCTTACCTGTACCATCCGTCATAACACTCGTCTTCCCTAAAATCTTCGCACTTCATCCCAGATTGACTAAGAACGTAGCCCGGTGGGCAGGTGCACTGGAAGCCTCCTTTGGTATTAGTACATTGTCCAGCCTCACAAATGTCACGATTCTCGTAACATTCGTCGATGTCTTCGCATTGACCACGTTCATTTAACCTGTAGCCCAGGGGACAGGTGCAAATGTAGGAGCCCATCACGTTTTGGCACTTGCCGGGGCTCTGACAGGTTCCGGGAATCTGGGGATAATTGATAGAAATAGAGATTTAAATTCATGGTTGAGGGTTGAATTCGAGGTTGATCTATGCTCCAGAAATTGTCGAATAAATTTTGTATCTAAAACTTCAGGGTAAATTAGTTTTAAATTTTTTGGAGATTAAAAATGTACTGGTGGTGCATGGCGCAGTGCCTCAAGGCAAATAGCTGTAACTTTTGGTACTGAAAATTAAAGTTTTTGAAAAACTTTTAGAATTTATTGAAAACTTTGAAAAACAATCGACTTTTTTGGATTTTTTCTTCATATTTCGATTTTTTATTATACTTTGAATTTTTAACTTCGGCCGAATTTTTAACTTTACTATAGTAATGGGCCGAAAATCAAAAATGAAATTTTTGCATTTCTCGACGTTTTGAAGTCTCTGAACATTTTGGCATACCTCAGAAAAAATTGGTGTGTGTGTGTGTGTGTTTTGTATGTCCGCATTTTTTTCGTCCACGTTTACGGGCGCACGGATCAACCGATTTGAATGGTTCAAAAAACATTCGATTTCTATTGATAGGGAGATGTACTGATTAGTTTTTGGCAAAGGCAGGTCCAGCTGTTACGGAGATAAAGAGCAAAGAGTGCAGAAAATAGAAAACGAGTTTTTGAGAGAACGGAGCATCGGATTCGAATGATCTAAAAAAACATTTAATTAGTAATGATTGGGAGAAAAGTTTACTACATTTTGGCAAAGGCAGGCCCAGCCATTTAGAAGATACGGAGCTAAATGTGTAAAAAATGGCAGTTTTTGAGAGAACTAAGCGTCCGATTTAAATGATTCAAAGAACTTTCTGCTTGTCTTAACAAAATAATTAATTTTGGAAAAAAAATTTGTTTCAAATTTTTTTCAAAAAAAAAATTTGTTTATCGAAAATAATTCAATTTTTTTTTTTAATTCTGACTATAGTTCTAATATACTTTAAACAAATAATTTCAACTGTGCAATTCAGTTTATATAATTCCTATAAATATTAGACAATGTTACAAATATTAATAAAAATCTATTTGAAAACATTCAGTATTCCTCGATCATTTCGTTACGGTACGGGAAGTTCCAGCAATTTGCCTTAAGGCACGATGCCATACACTCCACTAGTTTTTTTTTTAAATTTGAATTTTTTGATTTTGAAATTTTTTGGGAATTCGGAATTCTTTAAAAATATTCGATTTTTTTTCGAAAATTTCAAAATATTCTCAAATTTTTGTAAGAAATCGATTTTTTTTTTAATTTTGATATTTTATAATTGATATTTAAAAATTATATTTTGATATTTATAAAGCATTTTTGCACATCGTCTACTCGAGCAAAATGTTTTTTGAATTAATCTAATCGGATGATCTGTTCTCTCAAAAACTGCATAATCATTTTACACCCTTTGCGCTCCATACCTCCGAAACGTCTAGACGTGCCTTTTTCAAGTATGCCTCGCGATCGAGTACGAACCGAATGTTTTATCAATCATTCAAATTGGTTATTCCATACTGACGAAAATATCGAGGACATTTCTTTGAACCATATAAATGAACTTCAAAATAAAATTCTTGGTACGGAACCCAAAAAAATTGACACAAAATTGATAAATACTTATATCGTAAAAATACTTAATAATAATAATGATAATGATAAT